TGAACAGAGAATCTAATCCTCTATGCAAACAATCATTTTCATTGAATGTTCGGGCGAATATGGAGGGTGCAAGACCAGACCGATACGCAGCGAATCTATCAAAGATATCGGCTATCATGACTGATAAGACCAGATGGGCAGTGCCGTCGCTTACCTCAACCCTGCACCGTGGGACTCAACGTTATACAGAGCGAGGAATTGTGAGCGCTGGCGCCGCGCGGCCGCCGAGCCGTATAGGTTACCCGCCGGCCCTGGCCGCCGAGCAGGCCGGGCGGTCGGTTGAAGCATTGCGGGACAGCATACCGTTCAGGCGCTCGTAAAGCACTGCGGGACAGCATACTTCTTAGGCGCTCAACGCTGCTGCCATCTTGTGACGAGAATCGAAGCCGGGGCTGCGTTGCGGTACAGCATGCCTATCAGGAGTTGATAAAACACTGCGGTACAGCATGCCTTTCAGGCGTTTACGGTACTGCCACCTAGGGACGAGAATCTAAGCCGGGGTGTGCTGCGGCGCAGCATACCTTTCAGGCGCTCACCACTTATTTCTTCCAGGAACGAGAGTCTAAGCCAAGGTTTGTTTGTTTGTCGTTTATTCATGATTATGGGCATGGACAATGGACAGAAATAAAGTTGAATTGGTGTAAAAGCATAAACTTATTACGAGGCACCTCTTCAACAAAACAAAACGAAACAGAGCATCACAGAAATAAACACACACACACACACACACACACCAGGTCCCACGCGCAACCCCGCCGCCCCGACAGACCTTCCGACCACTACAGCTGGACCACACGCGCTCCGCCAGCCTGCGGCCTCCCCCCTAACTTTGTACGGCGGCCCGTCTGGCCAGACCGGGACGGTGCCGTTCCATGGCATATGCTGTCCCGGCCCCGGGGGGAGCTGTGGGATACCTCCCCGGGCCGGGGAGATCTGGTGGATACCTCCCCGGTGCTCCAGACGGGCCGCGAGCCCCCGCCCGCACCCCCGGAAAATCATCTTTCCCGGGGGTGCCCCCTAACCAATGCCCTCTCACTATTCACTTATTATAAATTTCATTGTGAAAATATTTCTATCACAAATAAGAGGTGTGGTGTGGGGCAGCATAGGGGAGGATGGGGTAATTTGGCCGCTTTTTTAGGAAGCGCTGTAGCTCGAAATTGGCGACACATTTCTGCACTCTCTCAACGCTGGCAGGTGTAGCATTGATTTGACTTTTTTGTACAGTAAACTGAAAATGATAGAGCAATTACTTATACCTGAATTTTGACGCTTTACAAAGGTCTGCAAAGCGGCTAAATTATTTCAGAGTTAGCAGCAGGGTTATTTGGCCGGTGGGGTGGGGCAATTTAGCCGGTGTTTATTTAAGGCCTTGATTTTATTTTACATGCGAGTAAGCTTCAGCGTCAGCATTAACATGTGTCCTATACGCCTTTTTGGGCTAACTCGGTGTCGGACTTATATTCGAATGATTTTGACTCATGTCTTATTTCAGCATTTCCTGCACAACTGAAAATGCGCTTCCTTTGCATACATTGCTCAATCAAACATTTGTTTTTACTTGTGATAGAAATATTTTCACAATGAAATTTATAATTAGTGAATAGTGAGAGGGCATTGTTTGGGAAAAAACGTTATATTTTTATTCTAGTAAGGAAATAATCGACTAATAATCTATATTATAAATCCTAAATAATCCGCCGCCGCCGCCGTGTGCGACGTAGTCACCTTGTAGCGCTTATTGCGGCGGCGTCCGTTGACCTACGGCCGTGAAATTTTACAGCGATGTGGGCCACCTTTACACGTAGGTCGTATTAAATTTTGGGCATGATGCGGCCGGGGGTGCGCCCGCGGCGCGTGCTCGCGTGCCCATAGGGTTAACATTAGAATCGGCAAAAACACGCTATTGCTCGGGAACGGTAAGGGCTACGGGGGTGAAATTTTCACTGCAAGTCGGACGCGTGCACTCATTTGTCGTATTAAATTTTCGAGGGGGTGGGTTCAGCGGTGTGCACGTGGTGGGGCCGCGACCGGCGCCGAGCAGAGGGCACGTGCTTTAGGCTCAGTTGTTCGCTTAAAAAACTGAGTGGGCCGGTAGGTCATTGACCTTTGACAACGAAGGCCGACACAAGGCACCGCTCGCCAAGAGGATTTGCCAGTAAATACAATTAATTTATTTTTGCAACATCTCAGCCGTTTCTGGGCCGATTTAGCTGAAACTTGGACTGTCGCTGGTAGTGTAGGGTAGGGTAAGGTAGGGTAGGGTAGGGTAGGGTAGGGTAGGGTAGGGTAGGGTAGGGTAGGGTAGGGTAGGGTAGGGTAGGGTAGGGTAGGGTAGGGTAGTGTAGTGTAGTGTAGTGTAGTGTAGTGTAGTGTAGTGTAGTGTAGGAGTAGGGTAGGGGTAGGGTAGGGTAGGGTAGGGGTAGGGTTGAGTTAAAATAGGGCCTAGGGTAGGGTAGGGTAGGGTAGGGTAGGGTAGGGTAGGTAGTGTAGTGTAGTGTAGTGTAGTGTAGTGTAGTGTAGTGTAGTGTAGTGTAGTGTAGTGTAGGAGTAGGGTGGGGGTAGGGGTAGGGTAGGGGTAGGGTAGGGGTAGGGTAGGGGTAGGGTTGAGTTAAAAAAAGGGCCTAACATACAAAAAACTTGGACACTCCGCAACTATCGCTATTATATTAAAAACAGCTACCCAAATCTACCCAAATAATACAGCTAAAATACAAGCTACTCACCCAAACTAATGCATCCGTCACATATAATTAATCAAAACATACAGTTATCGCGCAAACCTGTACCTCTAGTCTATATTATAAATCCTAAAAAGTACCCCGCCCACGCCGTGTGCGACGTAGTCACTTTGTAGCGCTTATTGCGGCGGCGTCTGTTGACCTACGGCCGTGAAATTTTACAGCGATGTGGGCCACGTGTGCTCGCGTGCCCATAGGGTTAACATTAGAATCGGCAAAAACACGCTATTGCTCGGGAACGGTAAGGGCTACGGGGGTGAAATTTTCACTGCAAGTCGGACGCGTGCACTCATTTGTCGTATTAAATTTTCGAGGGGGTTGGTTCAGCGGTGTGCACGTGGTGGGGCCGCGACCAGCGCCGAGCAGAGGGCACGTGCTTTAGGCTCAGTTGTTCGCTTAGAAAACCGTTGAGTGAAAAGCATCAGAGCCAACGAAGGCCGACACAAGGCACCGCTCGCCAAGGGGATTCGCCAGTAAATACAATTAATTTGTTTTTGCAATATCTCAGCCGTTTCTGGGCCGATTTAGCTGAAACTTGGACTGTCGGTGGAAGTGTAGTGTAGGGTAGGGTAGGGTAGGGTAGGGTAGGGTAGGGTAGGGTAGGGTAGGGTAGGGTAGGGTTGGGTAGGGGATTGTAGGGTGGGGTAGGGTAGGGTAGGGTAGGGGATTGTAGGGTAGGGTTGGGTAGGGGATTGTAGGGTAGGGTAGGGGATTGTAGGGTGGGGTAGGGTAGGGTAGGGTAGGGGATTGTAGGGTAGGGTTGGGTAGGGGTAGGGTAGGGTAGTGTAGGGTAGTGTAAGGGTAGAGTATGGTAGGGTAGGGTAGGGTAGGGTAGGGTAGGTAGGGTAGGGTAGGGTAGGGTAGTGTAAGGGTAGGGTAGGGTAGGGTAGGAGTAGGGTAGGGTAGGGTAGGAGTAGGGTAGGGGTAGGGTAGGGTAGGGTAGGGTAGGGTAGGGTAGGGTAGGGTAGTGTAAGGGTAGGGTAGGGTAGGGTAGGGTAGGGTAGGGTAGGGTAGGGTAGGGTAGTGTAGGAGTAGGGTAGGGTAAGGGTAGGGTAGGGTAGGGTAGGGTGGGGTAGGGTAGGGTAGGAGTAGGGTAGGGTAGGGTAGGGTAGGGTAGGGTAGGTAGGGTAGTGGTAAGGTAGGGTAGGGTAGGGTAGTGTAGGGGTAGGGTAGGGTAGTGTAGGGGTAGGGTAGGGTATGGTAGGGTAGGGTAGGGTAGGGTAGTGTAGGGGTAGGGTAGGGTAGGGTAGGGTAGGGTAGGGTAGGGTAGGGTAGGGTTGCGTTCAGTAACATCCTAACTTACAAAGGGCTCGAACAACTCGCATGCATCACCATCATACTTTACAGTTCAATTAAAAGCAGTTACCCAGTTCTACAAAAATCATACCAATAAAAATGCAAGTTTCTACACCCAAACTAATGCATCCGTTAATCATACATATCAAAACATACAGTTATCGCGTAAACCTGTACCTCTAGTTTCAATTAAAAATCCTTAGCAATCAATGAAATCACTGTCAACTCAGTCTCAAATCCTCGCATCTCGTAACCTTCCGATGTCTACAAAAAAGTTGTCGATAGTGTTTGCGAGCTGGAGATGTGACTATCAGTTTAGTTTGAAGAGATCCCTAGCATCTTCGTCGTGTTGCATTGTGCAGTGTCTTGATGAGCCCCCAGGAGGCAGACTGTGCCGCAATTGCCACCGCCAACGGCTATAAACCCAACCAGTTCGGCACGACGACCTTATCAAGTCGGCCGTCCCAGCATAGCGATCCTAAGAGCACTGTCAAAGCTGCTCCATTAGCACCGGCCAAATTACCCCGCATTGCCATTCTGAAAAAGTTTTGTCTATAAAGTCGTTACGGTTGTACGGAAATGCATGAAATTTCTCTTGAAAATGCTGAACATCCTAAGCAATGGGACCACAACGTCAAAATTTGTCTACAGCCCGACTTATACATGCTATACAATTTTTCGAACGCAAGCATTACCATCTTCGTAAGACAGTGCCGGGCTGGGTGTTGCCGACGCTGGGTTTATTGCGTCCACATAAGACGCTCATTGCACTACCTAGCCTACGTTTCAATTTGTTGAATTAATGAATGTTGAGTTCTGTTAACACTAGTTGGCATAAATATTTCTTGTTGAAGATATGAAATAACTTTTCGATGTATTATTAATAACATAGCTTTGTGCTTTCCAATTTCAATATAATTCGCACTGGTGGTTGAATATTATGCAGTCGCATACACTGGCGTCGTCAAAGCACAATAAAACATCCAATGGAGCGGCTCACGTGTATGTGGTAAACGACAGCGAACTGAGCGGTTATCCGTTGGTAGAGGCAATGCCCCCCCCCCCCCCCAAAAAAAAAACAATGGTAGAGTGATACATTTGTTAGTACTCTATGGTTATGAGCTAAACCTTGGTAGAGGTTCTACCGGAAGTGAGTTTCTAACTGACGCTAGCGAATCCAAGGTGTTTAGGGCATGTCCTCTTTTCATGCAACGTTCAAAATAAGTCATGAAAATTAACCGTTTCACTCGCCTTTTAATAAGACTTTCGAGCATGTTTTGGAATACGCATGCGCTTGTAGGGTCGCGGGACATACCTACTCGTAAAAGGAGACAATTTGGACATCAGTAGCATCAGATATCTGGAGCTTCCTTCTCGTAAATGTTCATGTATTGTAACCTACCAGAGATACTCCCAGAAAACCATTTCATCAGTTCTCTCGTTCTAATCAGTGTGCGATAGATTGCATGTGAACCGCTTTAAATTTAAGCCGTCAGAACAATGTGAATACGAACACATTCGCAAAATGCATACCTATTGATAGCACCTTTCTGCGGCGAAGTGCCTTATCTCCACAACCGGTATAGCTTTCAGCCTTCGTGTCGAGCAGTGGATAGGCACTTTCCACCAGTCCTCCACTTCTAACAGAATCGATCACTGGCAACTTCTGGCCACAGAAATTTCGCGCCCGCCGTCCATTGGCCAACTCACCCACGGTAGGCGGAGCCTATTTCTCCACCCCACAGCCAACAGCGGCCGAGCGGCCGTGGTTCGTCGGCAGCCGTATGCCCTTGTTGCATGCGAGTCGGCCTGGCCTGCGTGTGACAGGGTGATTACTGGCCGACAAGAGGAGGGCCCGGGAATATGGAGTCTGTCAGCGGCAGGCCTCTCTGTCGAGAAATAGCGCCCACCGCCGGCGGCAAGCCACCGTCCGCGAAAAAACCGTCAGCCATTTGCGCAGCGCCGGCATCGGGGACCATCAGAAGCAGGGGCCGGGTGTCACAGACAAGCACTCGAGAGCGGCGGCGGCGGCGGCCGGGCGAGCGCGGTTCAATTTGTCGGCGCTCCGTCAGCTCGTTTTGACACGACCGCTGTAGGCGCTGGTGACGATGGCGGGCTACGGGTGCGGGCCCAGTGCCGAGGCGGCGGCCGGCCGCGCAGGATTCGGGCCCGGCCCCGTGCACCAGATGCCAGTCATGCCCACCTACGAGCAAACCGGCGGCAAGGAGCAGCCCTCCTCCTGCGCATTCTCCCGCTGCCCGACGCTCGGAGTGGCGCCTCTAGGTGAGTCTACAGGATCAACGGGTGCCCTAGGTGAATCTGCAGGATCGCACGGTTCCTGTATGTGGGTCTACGGGCTCGGAGTATGCCTTTAGGTGAGCCTGTAGGATGAAAAGGTTCTTCTAGAGGAGTGGACGTGATCGGAGGCCTCCTTTGGAGCGGATGATCTATTGAGGAGAGTTGCTCGCTCGTGGTACCTTTGAGTGAGTCCCTATGATCAGAGGAGCTCCATCAAGGTGCCTTTACAGCTGTGGCGTCCATGAGTAAGATTTGAAATTCGAAGTCTCGTCGGCCGTCAAGTGATACTTACGACCGGAGTGATACGGCTGGAATGATCGATCTATCAGTTTCCGTATTCGGTAGCTAAATACGAGTAGCTCGAATTCTGGGCGGAGTGGAGTTGTAGTGTAGCATGGATTCTGCCCAAGAAGAGACCATTTGCTTGAGTGAAACATGGTTCCAAAATAGGTAGGTACCAATCAAAACGCATTCGCGGTGCAACCGACTCAAGCATCCCCCTCCCCCCTTAGGTGTTACAATCATTCTTTTCATTTGAATTGTATTTTTACTGTTGGGATCCTAACACTGAATCATATTTTATGGAATGGCGACCTTCAGTTATTTGCTGATCCAATCTCATACTTCTGGTCGGTCTGGCGGACCGACAGGACCCGTCCAAAACTACTTCCCAACATCAGGCCAGAGGAAACACAAACATAGCAAGTTCATCAGCAGTTAGATTTTAATCATTATCCGACCATGCACGAACAGCTACCAAATGGTTACGGAGCGAGCGAAGCGAGCGGAGTCTTACGTAGAATAACGGAAATTTCTGAGTATGAGCGGCCGGCCGGCCGGCCGGCCGGCCGTGCGGACGCTTTTGCGAGGCTTATATCTCAGCAACCACTTGACCGATTTACACGGGGTAATTTTTGTAGGGTAGCTTCATTCCTTCTACCAAGTATTGGACTATTCCCGATGCATGTGGGTGACCCCTTATGCACGTGCCACGTGCAAAACGAAGAGGTGTCAGTTTTGTAATTGTTGCAATATCTCGGTAACTACTTGGCCGATTGCGCTGAAAGTTGGCATGTAGGTAGGCACCCACTAGGCACTGCATATCCATGTGCCAGAGTTGGGGTGCTGCTGCACGTGCGCACGTGCAGGGGTCGTTTCCAGATCTCGAGAACGGCTGGACCGATGGCGCTCAAATTTGGTACACGGTTAGGGACCAGTTAGTAGGGTGCCGTGCACAAGTCAGTTGGGACCCATTCTGCACGTGCGCACGTGCAGGGTGCCGCTTCCAGATCTCGAGAACGGCTGGGCTGATCGTGCTCAAATTTGGCACATCGCTAGAGACCGGTTAGTAGGGTGCCGTGCACAAGTCAGTTGGAGGTACCCCCTCGAAATTTCGCACGTGCAAGGCTCACCATCTCGCTCGCTCCGTTAGTCGCCCCAAAAGGCGCTATACTGGTGGTATGTCACGGAAGAAACTCGGTCGTCTGTATAGCTCCGGCTCGTTTGAAATTCCGAGATATAGCCGGTTTTCCCGCTGCAGCTCCGATCCCGCCGTTGAACGGAGTTGTTCTGATGCCTGATGTCAATTTGTGACATATTTCCCGCTGGTGGAGCTATGAACAGATTTGAACCAAGATTTTTGCATGGTTGATGACAAGATTTCCAGTTTCAAATGTATGACGTCAAAGCGTCCTAGTTCACTTTACTTCCATAAAATAGGGACAAAATAACATTCATTTCTACTAACCAGCCCACCGACACTACTTGTTGGAGTGACCTGCTGATTCAACACACTGTTGGTGAACCATTGAAGTGACCTGAAGACGTGACCTGCTCACGTGACCTGCCCAATGCTCATGTGACCCGCTCGCATGGCCTGCAGGCGTGGAGGACCGGCAGTACGAGTCTCTGGACGACCTATACTTCCCTGGCAGTCCGTACCGCGTCCAGAGGCACGCGGCCAACATCAGAGAAAGGAAACGCATGCTCAGGTAGGACAGAATCTCACCAAAGACGGAATTGGTTATTTTTTGCAGGATCTCTGCGCTATTAAATATATGTATAAACGTTTAATGTATCATTGAAAATGTATGACCAGTGACCACCTCATCAATTCATGTGTCCAATCGTTTTTAATCATGCATCGAAGGCATTGCCCGATCAGATATGCAGAATCCATCGGAATATATCATTCAATTGATTTCCTACCGATTATGTAATATCAAACATACAATCATGTGCTATTGCTCTTGCTATTACACACGTAAATTTACGATTCTATGAAAATGTTAAATAATAAGTTCTTATGCATTCATGATCCATTAAGATTATAAATCCCAATCTGTAAGCACTGTCAGTTGCTATGTCTTTGATGGCTATGCGGCGCTGGCCGGCCGGACACAGTCTCTATAACTCAGCCTGCAGTAACTCGTGTTCCAGCATCAACTCGGCATTCGAGGAGCTGCGCGTGCACGTGCCCACATTTCCGTACGAGAAGCGGCTGAGCAAGATCGACACTTTGCGGCTGGCGATCGCGTACATCGCCCTGCTGAGGGAGGTACTGGAGAGCGACCTGGACCCGGTCACCTACATCGACCGGTGTCTGAGGGGCGAGATACGCACCGAGGGCAGTCTCGAGTGGAACACCTCAGGTGAGTGGTGGCGCTCAGCGAGACTTGGGAGCGCTCTCTTGATGTATGGTGGTTTATATGTTATTGCCTTTTTGCTTCTGAATTGAACTGCAAATCGACTGATTATCTTGTTATGTGGTTTTCAATTGTGTTGCTGATTCGTTGGCATTACAACGTAGAAGCTATGTTAACGTTTTGCATTGATTGATAAATGTGTCTTCCGCTGTTGTCCACAGATCTGACGGCTCGCCTTTCCTGGATCAACTGGGAAAACCTCGGTGTGAACCCCGCCCGCCGCAATCTGCTCAACTCGTTCTCCGTCAGCCAAGATCCCAGTGCAGCCGAGCGCATCTGAGCCGTAAAACTAGCGAATGAATACCTACCGTCAACGATGCAAGACTCGCTAGATCCGCTCTGCAAATCACCAGAAACCAAATCTCTAATAGGAGTCGGTCATGACACTGAATGTGCTTAGGGCCGACCAGGTTTGATCAAACCAGATACTATCAGACTCACATGGTCGCGGCTTGATCATACTGCGCACCGGTCTGATACTGAAACCACGGAATATAGTTTACGACACTGCAGTGTCGTAAACTATACGACAGTGCACTGTCGTAGACTATATTACGTTCTCAGACTCACGTCAGGTCGCAAGTCAGAAAACGTTTGAATTGTGTAGCTGAAAATTGCTTGCGCAGCGCGGAGCCAGACGACTTTCTTGTCGTTTCCTAGTCACCCCATCACCTGACTCTTTACCTACTCTGTGTAACGTACCGCATGCTCTTTGTCTGTAGCGGTATAATGCAAGTCAGAGAAGAGACCCCGAAAGGCTTTGATCTCGTAATTGCATCGTTCGAGCAGCATCTTATTTGAGAGTGCGTGCTAATGTGCCAAAAGTGCAGACGGTTTGTTAAGCCGTAACTGCCTAAAAAGTCATTTTCACACGAGCTGGATCTGTAGAGACTCGGGGTGCGTTTATCCTCTATCCATACCAGTTCGGTTAATACAAATCTGTGCAATTTATGTGCTCCCAGCACTGAAGGCTCTGGCCTATTTATTTGTACATTGTCAGGTGTTCTTGTGGCTGCTTCTGTGTATTGATTGAATATTGAAGGACTATTGAATTGCAGAGAGGAACTTAAGTTTGCAATATAGTAGGCGCTGCAGGTTAGTTTTAGTCATCATTGTCTATGTCCGAATATTGCACCTGACATTGCCCGTATGATAGACATTATGTCGTGTTTGTATAAGGATGATATCAATAAAAACATATATGATCATTGGTTTCACTCCTGGTTATGTTAGGGTGAATTTCATGGAATAGATAATGGAATATGGAATAGGTATTTGCGACGGTGTGAAGATCTAATTTGTTCTCTATAGTCAAAGAAGAGAGGAGTTCGCCATCATATCTTCCGCTGCATGCCGTTCTAAGGCTCCCGTCCTAAGGCTCTCGTGCTTCGGTCTTTAATGTCCGATAAGGCCATTGCGGGAATGATATGTCAAGGAAAAATCCGGCTGAGGCTGCCTCAGTCTGATAAGCCTCAGTTGCCGCGGCTCACTCATCCCCAAGTTAGGCTCAGAGGCGAGACGAGCCCCGAGCAACCTGCCACGCTTCCGGGGTCGCGCTGAGAAAACTCACTCGCTGAAGACAAATTTATTCTCGGATGCCGCCAGTCATTTATGCCACACCACGAAAGAAAGACTTGCGAAAGTTCTTGACTCTTGAGAAAAGAGGATGGATGAGGGGAAAAATACGTAGGGAACTACATTATGAATAAATGAGTTAATCGCAACAATACACAAACCAGGCACATTATAAAATATGGTGAAAATCGTAGATGTTACCGGAATAAACAATGCTGTTGTTAAGCTATAATTTCGTCAAAGTTTGTTCTAAGCTGCAATGTTAGAATTATGCGCGCTACTTATGACAAAAAAAAAAACACTTCTTACACTTTCGCTTGATTTAAACTTAAACTTACGTATAGCTAAAATGTCCATGCTTTTTCATCTTTGTCTTGAACTTTTTTACGAAGATAGACATTGGCTTTATTCTCAATCAATAGGTAGGGTAAGGTTGCATATTAGCTGCCCTTTCCTATAGCGACCCACCTCTCTACAGAAAAACTGGTGAGAGAAATCGGGGAGAAAACAATGTCAAAAGGACTGCCATACATTGCTTAGCAATCTCAATTACTTTTTGGTGGTCAATGCCTTTGTTGAGACGTTTCATAGGCGAGTTTAAATAAAAATGACCATTTTCTTATCCAAACCATGTGTATTTGTGCTATGTCTGATGAAAAACGACGCACGTTAAGATGATGCACCCTTTTTATCCTGAATAGACAATCATTTTTTCAATTAATTGCAGCCTTCCCGTATAAATCGCTTGACTGTGCACTGCATGGTGGTTAAAAATTTGTCGCAGGACATACTTCCTAATTGCGCCTGACATGATCGCAAACAGCTCAAGAAGGGAAATGAATGGGAAAAGAGAGAAGAGAAAATGTTGCTGAAGCTTGCGGTGTGTGGCGGGTGATACCAATTGTCATGGCAGACTGCAGGGGTGCCGAATCCAGCGCGGGACTCGAATACAATACGGGATAACCTCCAAAAATGGGTTTTCACCTTATTTTCGCCTCTAGTGCATTACGTGATCAGCTTCCACAAACATAGACGTGCTGGGCTGACTAAATGCTCCTGTTCCAGTGATTAAGTGCTTTGCGTACGTGGTATATTTAAGTATCTTATTTCATGTTTTCGAGCGTAGCATTTTTTGCCGTTTTTACTGTTCCACCGATGGACCTATTAGCGACCCTCCCCGTTGCTAATTGGGACGAGTTCCCTTCTAGCATTTTTGCAATGGTTTGCCAAAATGCTCACTACAAATAAATTTGTGGATATTGGGGCAGACAATGAATGGATTCTGATAGGAAAATGAACGATCTCTCCGAAAATCAATCCAGTAATACAGTGACACCCATAAAGCGTGAGTAGTGACGGTTCAAATTAAGGGGGTCGCTCTCGCTAGTTAGACATCTTACCCTACTCATTACGAAGTCCCAAGAGGTGGTAGGTGGGTGGGTGGGGTGATGGCATTAAGGGCATTTACCCCTATCACGGCGTCCAAGACTGGCGACATCTTGTCGCTTTGCTTTCCTTTCTACGGAAGAAAACTAAGCACTACTGTGCACTGTGCACTGTGCAGCACAGCAACGCAAAGGGAAGCAATATAGCAAAAAAAAAAACTTCTTTTTTGGAAATACAAGAACTTTGGGGAGATGTATCGCCTCGCAGCGTTCTAAGTCACCAATGTAATAAACCAATATAACCACTAGGCTAGTTGTAACAGTAAGGAATGCTGACTTTGCGTTACTTTATTTGGTTACAAAAACCTGAATGCTAAGAAGAAATCGGTTAAACGACTAAAAGCTAAATGGTTAAACGGCTAAGCCGTATAGCGACTTAACGGTTTTGTAACGCTAATGCGGTAGGCTAACAGCAGTTAACGTCAGTTTAACGACATATTGCTTCATTTGCATTACCCTTCACGATAAATTCCTCACAACCTGTCAACATATCTTCAAATTTCGCTATCTCGCCATCCGTGCTCGGTGGCAACCAGGCTCGACAGATCCTACAAACCAATGATTCAGCGCACCCCTAGCCCTCCCAGGCACTTGATATTCATGCCCGCGGCCACAGTTTGTGGTATGTCAGTTTAACACTGCTCCCAAACCGGCGGCACATTCCATCTATAGTTCACTCTCCGGGCGCCCTTCCCGGCCGCTCTCCCGTCAGTAATCGCCAATACAGCCATGAAGTCATCAAAGCGCTCACCGCGTAATCCTCGCGGCTGGTCGGCCGCATCTGTTTACAAACGGGTCCAGAGCGCGGCTCAAGAGCTCCGGCGCGCGCCGAATCGCCGCGCCGCCGCGCGCCCTTCTAATTGGTGGTTACACATTCAATTTGGCGCGCGCTGTGACGGCACGTGGCGGCAGCGCGCGCCGGACGGCCGCCATTGTCGCCGGCTCGGCCCCAGCCCGCTCGTCACTCGAGTGGATGAATTATGGATGAGCGGTGCCGGGGGAGCGGAACAGATCTATTAATGGCTCTGATGGGTTTCCGGCGGCACGTGCCGTGAGGTGGCGCGCCGGTGCGTGCCGCTCCGGGCCATGTATCATTAGCCGGGCTGTCGGCGACAATCAGACGGGCGGTGATTGCAGACCGGGCTGAGCGGCGACAATGCGGCATATCTCCGGCTATCAGCGGCATCGGTGTAGATTGGACGGCTAACGGGCTGCCGACGCACTCCCTGTTATGTCTGACTTATCTGCTACAAGAGTGTTTAGTGCGATCGATCATCAAAATTATAGGCAGACGATGAATCGGATGCTGAGCCTCTTTAAAAAGGGAACTGAACAATGATGAACACTGGCATCAGGGCGGTTCACTAAGCTGTTTGCTCTACACGCTTTTCTCAAACGACCTGGGCCTGCATGTGCCGGATGATGTTACCATTGTACAATACGCCGATGACGTGCAGATTTTGACGAGTGGCAAGAAGCAGGACATGGACGTGTTAAAGGCTCGCATGGAACAATCTCTTGGAACACTATACCACTGGTTTTGTCAACATAGGATGAAACTTAACGAGGCGAAAACACAAATGATAGTGATGGGAACTCCTGCAATGCTAAGAGGAATGGAGTCTTTCGTGTTGGAATTCAACGGAGCTCAGATCCAGGCGACAAGTGTTGTAAAAAATCTAGGTGTCACATTTGATTCGCATTTAAAATTCACTGAACACATTGGCTCGGTGGCAAAAAGATGCACGGGCATGTTGATGGCACTGAATCACGCGAAACACGCAATACCTAAGAGCGTACTGCCTTGTCTAGTGCAGGCTCTCGTCATTTCTGTCGTGCGCTACTGTATGTCTGTGTATGGTACGTGTAACGGCACGCAGCTCCACCGGATTCAGAAGCTTCTAAACTTCTGTGCTCGTGTGGTCAGCGGAAGGACAAGGCGAGAACATGTCTCGGATGTATTTCAACGCTTAGGGTGGATGGATGCCAAGCAGCTTGTCATGTACCACACTGCCTGTACTGTTCAGTCGACGATTACCACTGGACAACCAGAGGCTCTGCTCAGCACCATCGGGCGTCCATCAAACATGCACCATGACCATGCCACCAGAAATGCTGGTCGAATAACGTTACCACGTATCCGTACAGAAACCGGTAAACGTCGCCTGTGTTACCGCGGTGTGACTATCATCAATGAACTGGGGCTCGATCCCGGTATCACAAATTTTAAAAGACACCTAAAAAGTGTGATCATGTCTCAACCGCCTTGAAACGCTCGTTTTACGCGTCATTGTCTGGATGTCTATATGATAGTCTGTATATGAATGCATGTGATGTGCTTGTCCCTGCTATATCCCTTGTCAATTGACGTGCAATGGTGAAAAGCCACCGTGCTGTGGACTTATTGCTAATAAACGAATCTGAATCTGAATCTGGCAGTTAAATACATGTCACAGTGGCATGCGTCCAGAGCAAGTATGAAAGTGCTTTATGGAAACATTTGAATAAATATGTATAATCAATAAGATAGCATCCAACAATAAATAACGAACATAAAGACGTTTGCGTAGGGTCGCATCTATAGCAACGCCAACGGCGAATGCAGTAGCAAAGGTTTCTCAATGATAGTCCAGGCAATAATGTAATGTCAATCTGAGTAGCACTCGTGCGTAGGGCTATAAACCTACTCATACTATTTGTATGTGCAAAAATTTCACTCATCAGTCGTCTAGGGCACCTTATTGCAAGAAAGTGTATTGAAGTAGGTGATAGGTATTGTGCTAATGAAGGACAGTAAAGTGACGGATCATTGCTCGAAACAGACTCACAGATGCTCTCTTTTCGGACCTCGTTAAGCTCATGTCCCAGGCATTTGTACCAGAACTAAGCTGAAGGGACGTAAGCTGCAGAAGAGTTCGGGAGGGAACCTGAGCCGCAAGGGGGAGGGGTGCAAATATTCTCTGGTCAAGAAAGAAGCGACCTCTCCCGCACGTGCTCTTTCAAAGCGCAGTTTCGTCATTTAGCGACCTTGGCTAAGCTAGTCCGCCTTAACATCTGTCCTGAACTCCGATACGATCTAAACAAGGTGCAGTTTAAAAGGACAGGCTGCAGTCGGTCCCAAAGCGAACACTCCCCAAATAATCCCCAAACGAGCCAACGCGCCCACCCATTCACATGTTTTTAAAGCCTGAACTGCTCTGATCCTAACTAGCTATATGTGCTGGCCTATCCCGTTTCCTTTCTACAACCCTGGCGATCTGGTTTCAGTGGCACCGGGCCGAGGGGGCATTTATTCACTGAGGCACCGCTGCCCCCCCCCCTTCTCTCCCACCACAAACCCGACCGTGGCGAATTCGATCCTCGATTGATGCCGAGCAAGCAGAAAATCGGCCGCGGGCCCGGCGGTCACAGCCACGTGAGCGGTATCGCAGTCACGTGACGGAGGGCAGAAGTCACGTGTCAGTGTCGCCGACGGCTGACTGGTCGGCGGTCGGATGACGTCACGGTTGACCGGCGCAGACACGGCGCCGCGGGTGATGGGACGTAACTAATTGAAAGGGTCGACCGGACCGGGGGCGATCAACCCTGTAATGCGCGGCACCGCGCCGACTGCTGAGCACAATGGACCGCCGAATTCCTGGGGATAATGCCGGATGCATATTTTAGCACCCCTGCGCCGATGTCAAAACCCATTTACAGTCGTGACACGACACTCGAAAATGTACTTTGTATATATGTGGTTCTTGTATGGAGCTTCACAAGTACCGTACAAAACGGCGCAATCGTAGTGTCGAAAGTTGTGACGCACGACGCCGTTTCCTTAGGTATTTGGGATACCTCAGGGAGATGAGAAGAAGAGTAACCCATCCCTGCTGATAAAGCGCGATTTGATGCTCAATGCCTATCAATACGTTTAGGTACGATATCAACGTGTATGGAAAGAAATTGACAGCTGTCCATCGTTGCACCCCACTTTATGGTGGTTGCCTCTCAACTTCCGACCTCAGCTTTGACCGCGCCCGTGTCAAAAAAACATCATCAGAAGTCAGAGGTCTGATCGAAATCGTAGCGGCTAGTGGCTACTAACCAGTAAAATGCCTTTTGGGGCGACAAACGAGCGAGCGAGAGTGTGAGCTTTGCACGTGCAGATTGCAGAATTGAGAGGGTACTTCAAAATGACTTATGCACAGCACCCTACCAACTGGTCTCTAGCGATGTGCCAAATTTGAGCACAATCGGCCCAGCCGTTCTCGAGATCTGGAAGCGGCACCCTGCACGTGCGCAAGTGCAACCTGGATCCCAAATGACTTTTGCACGGTACTCTACTAACTAGTCCCTAGCCGTGTGCCAAATGTGAGCGCAATGGCAATCGGTTCAGCCGTTCTTGAGATCTGGAAACGACCCCTGCACGTGCGCACGTGCAACAGTACCCCAATCGTGATGCATGGGAGGGAATGCATTGCCTCAGTGCAATCGGCCCAGTAAACTAATTACCGAGACATCGCAATTGTTGCAAAACTGACACCTCTTGGTTTTGCACGCGGCACGTGCATAATGTTTCTGTTTCTGTTTTGTTGGGTTAGGCCCTTTCGGTCCAATGAGACCATTTCAGAGCCGGGAGGATGATAGGATATAGGGGGAGACATTGGTCTGGGCAGGCACCCTAGTGAGTCGCCGGGGCTGAGCCCGTCCAGAGGACAGGCCACCCAGCCCCAAGGCACTCACTGCACCCGGCTACGGGGTGCGCTCCCTCGGGAGCAGCGGTGCCGCTCCAAGGGAGCAGCCCGCATGAGATAAAGTTGCCTGTCCAGTCCGGAGGGGGATTGCGGCGTGGAGGAGAAGGATTTCAGTATCCTGAGGATAGAAGCACGGAACGGTGATGACGTGCATAATGGGTCACCCACATGCGTCGGTAAAAATCAATACCTAGTTGGTAGGAGGAATGAAGCTGCCCTTGAACTAAATCGTGTCAGTGGCTGCCGAGGTATACATAAGCTTCGCAAAAGCATGAGCAGTGAGCACGGCCGGACGGACGGCCGCTCGCTCATACTCAGAAATTTCTGCTAATCTACGTACGACTTTTCTCGGTAACAAACCATACGGCACAGCATATTAGCCAGGCGCTAACTGCTAGCGACATCTAGGAACAGGGCTAAAAACTACAAGCCATGCGGCACAGTATACCACCCAGGCGCTGACTCTTAGTGACATCTAGGAGCGGAAATATAGGTTATAGGCAATGCGGTACAGTATACTAGCTAGGCGCCGACTCCTAGTGACATCTAGGAACAGGAAAACAAGCTACAAGCCGTGCGGCACGGGCGGCATACCAGCCAGGCGCTTACTACTAGCGACATCTAGGAACAGGAATATAGACTTCAGGCCGTACGGCACAAATACTTTACTTAATGCTTAGTTGACACCCGAATAACTGTAAAACGCGGGGCAATCTCCGAGTCCGACTCCGAACACTCGCGTCAATCACCCATTACCAGTCATCTCAATCCACAAAGTCATTCTCATTGTGAGCAGAGATACAATGGCGTCACATACATTGTGTATTCAGCATCCCAGAACACACAAGCCTCTATCCAAGATAATCACTTAACGGCTGGATTATTAGGGAACAAGCACGCGCTTTACCGGCTAACACGATAAAATCTCGCGCGACACCGCCAGTGAAGATCCGTCGCATCAAAATTGTGAACAGTGCAAAACTGTGAACGAGCAACCGAATGAACATTGAACTGCGTCAAAAACGTAACGAATTAAAACATATCATACAAGGGTTTGCCTACCAATTCCTTAAGAAGTTAGGCGACACATGAACATGAACTCTTACAGAAGGAAGAGACAGATAGACAGAAATTTAATTCAAGAGATATTTACTGCTTCAAGAATCTTAGATGTTTTCAATAGGTCCATGTCGGCAGATACAAATATTCAAAATAGGTGTCGATGGCTCAAGGCAATACAAAAGGGGCATTACATAACATGGCAACGTAGTTCTTTTTTAAAAACGGCTAATTGATGCTTCACTATAGCAAATCCAAGCATGCGTCCCAAAGTTTCTAAAAAAGGTCTACCTGATACGTTGCTCTAGAATACCGACGCGAAAGATAACACGCACTGAGCCACCAGTACCATTCTCGAGTCTGACAGCGGCGCCTATAACAGCAGTTCTATGAGCGATCTGTCGCGAACACACATGACGTCATCTATCTCAGAATACAAATTATGAAACGATTGCGAGGGCCAGTCCACTCATTACCTACAAAGTCGTCAAAAAGCAGTCACGAGGTAAGAACGATCCGAAAATTGTGGTCAGTTAAGCAAAATGGTTCAATTTGTAAAAACGGGTGGTCACCACGGCGCACTGCTGGTGCCATCTAGTGCCGTTTTGGTAAGACACAGTGCAGCTAACAACAGCGGGGGCAGCGCCACCTTCCCTATTCGTCGTTTGCCACTTCTATTATGCAGTACGGGACGCTCGAGCCACCCCACCCCGCGACAGTTTTTGATACCGGATCGTGCCTCGGTTGACGCAGCACCTCCCCCAAACACACACTCACACAGACGCACACACGCGGCCGGCCTCCCGCGCCGAGGTGTTCCCTCTCTCCCTTTCTCATTCTCTCTCGTTGGGCCGATATGAACATGTGTATGGCCCGGCGGCTCGGCTGCCCACCAGAGCCGGTCGGCCTATCCTCTCCCGGTAGTTAATGTGGAGTCACCGACACCGGGTGTGTCTGAGTCTCTGCAGCGCCGACTACTCTGCTCTCCCGGTAGTCCATACGCACTTGTCCGTCGTTCGCCACCGGCTGTCCTGACGGGCGTATGTACGTTCGACGAAGGGGTGATCGGCACGTATGAGCGCTTCGTACGCCGGCTAAGTAACACGCATCGCTGTCGTTCTTGTCCCAGCGGTGGAGCACCGGCCCCGCTGTTCACGGAGAGCACACACCAGCACGGAGTGTTCAGCGCGCGCACAGGTGTTCCTTTGTCCGGTCTCCCGGCGCGCGCGGCGGAGTCGACGGCGGCTCCCGGTCACTTTTCCCGTCGTGTCAAAAATAATATCACAAACGACACTGCCGGCTAGCTCGTTTTCTCAGCCGGCGCGGCGGCCCACGTCCACCCACAGCGGAAAGACTGAACCGTCGGGATGATAATGCCACGAGAGTCGCCGCGCGGCCCGCCACCTGTCGGCCGCTGCAGACAGCGCAGTTTCGCCGGCCGGTCACCAGTTGGCGCTGCCGGCGACTACATGTGGATGGAGGCAGCTGTGTATCGGGCCTCTCCGCGCCTCATTCGCCACTGACTGGGCCGGTACTGAAACACAGGGCGTTCGGGATCAGTGGAGACACTTCACAACACCTGACAATACGTACACCTTCATCACAAAAAGGATGCAGAAGACAACATACATGTATATCGGAAGAAGTTCATAACCATCAACCACAGAAATTGCCCAACTATAGTAAGGACTCGAGCAATGGTTTGAATGGTTCATGGGGATAAAATTATCAGCACTCAAAATGAGTTGAATGATACAGACTCTAAGCCACCCTGACTGTGTGCTGTAACAGCGTCGCCGTCTTACCCTGATGAGGATCTGTCCAGAGGTGCTGTGCGGGAACAGGTACGCGTAGGTGACCCAGCCGCCGATGGCCACCACCAGGATGACGATCGCCACCACGGCGGCCACTGCCGAGGACGACATTCCGTCGACGTCTGAAATCAGAGGATACCGGTACTCAGTGCATAAAGGACAAAATGCCGCCAGCATCTGAGATCAGAGGTCGGGTCATGGGTCAGCCGTCACGGGACGTCTGGGGTCACAGATAATGTGACGGGTCAGTTTACCGCACTGAATAATCATGCATTGCCAGTCTCTGAGATCACAATAGGGCACATATCACAAAAAAATTATCACGCGGGTAATAGCCATAGCTCCTGTGCCTGGAAGGATATTTTCACAACCAAAAGTAGGATCATGTTTGCCGGTCAGGGCTCATATACCAAGCTTTCCCAACAAAAGTCGACACCAACGAAACTCAACACGACTCAGAGTGTCATCCCCACTCCCGCCCTCTCTGCGTACCCTGTTTGGCCGAATCGCTGTGGGCGGCGGCGGCGGCCGACGGGCCGGCCGCGTCCGGACTGACACTGGAGCTGACGGTGCCGTCGGTCGGAGCAGGCGGTGACGGCGGCGACGGTGGCCCGCTCGGGGTCTGGCCGCACTGCGCCGCCTCCTGGACGAAGTTGTCGTCACAGCGCGACTCGAGCCAGTCCTGTCGGTTACGGTCCAGGCCGTCCGAGCAGCGCTTGGTGGACTCGCACCAGGCGCACTGAAAGAAAGACGTGGGGACAGATAGTCAGATATAGGCGGAGACGGTCAGACACGCAACCCAGCGGCATAATAAACAAAAATACGAACAAAATACACGATAAAAAACGGCAAAACAGATGGCAGCATTGAGCCAGCTGACAGGCACCGCACCACAGGCTGGGTTCAGCGATACCTTTGAATCATCAACCACCCACGGATAGTAATGACGATGATGATGTCTGGGTTTAAAAGCCGTCCGCACTGCATTGGTCATCAGCGACCACACCACCCACCGAAGCGAATCGCATTGCAAGTTGCAACTAATCACTAGTCATCACCATCAAATAATTAATCCATTTCTACAATGTCTTATGAAAACAACATCGTTCTCTTATTTCGTCACTGCGCAGTGCGCAGCCAGCGTCGCGGCAGTCGGCACGAACCTTGAAATCGATAGAGGGGTGGTTGAGGCACTTCTCGCAGGAGCGCAGCGACACACAGGTCGGCTGAGCCGTGAACACGACAGCCGTGTTGTTGCTGATGGTGTAGCCCTTCATGTCGATCCGGTGGTACTCGTAGATGGTCTTCCTCTTCACGTCTGCGGAAGAGAAGGAAGAGGTCCACGGTCAGAAACGTACAAGTGCGTGCGTAAATGCAAAGTGCGTGTCTGTGTAAGTAGGTGGAGGGGCTGGGTTGGCCTGGTCGCGTGCTTGCACGCAGTTAGACATCCTGAAGGCGCCTTATTTTGGACCAACAGCTCCAACACAAGGCCATCCAATGACACGGAGAGATGGTGTCATAATGTTGTAGCTATAGCGACATTGGGTCGCCGACTACTAAGCAGCACCGTTAGCGTGACATCACAATTCACAACCGAACGCCGCTGACGCAGCCGACCCCCGACGTGTGTCTTTTGTTCAAAACAGGCGCACAAAGACACTGCTGCCGCTGCAAAACCAACTGTACAAACACCCACAACACAGACAGCGCAGTATCGCGGTCGAGCCGGCGCGGTTTTACAATAAGATAAACATCGGCGGTTTTCGATTGACACATCAAAGTGATGCAAAAACAGCTGAGGGCGCATCGGGTTTGTTTAATGTAGCCCAGCCCCAATGGAGTGTTTTGTTCGATTCGACCAACTTTTATTCCCGAATCGTTCATGATAGGCCATTCTCGCTCCCGCCCCTGCAAGGGGTCACGGAGTATGCTGACATCACAAGCCCCCAGGGCGGGCGACGGGCGACGGAGGCCGTCCGATCCATCGTCTGTATCAACTGCCAGGGTCCCCAGTCCCAGAGTACGTAACTTTCCAGAGCGACTGAACAATCAAAACACGCTGCGACAGCCCCGGTCCTGTAAGCCAGCTTCAAAAGGAAGGAGCGGCAGCGGATTGTCGGCAGTCATTGCCGGTCGAATATCCTCCCTCCCCCCCCCCCCCAGCCCCACAGCTCTGTCTGATCTGTGCCATCCACATGAGGCGGCTTGTCTAACTAAATTCATCAGGCGTTCTGGCCAGCTTTATCAATATACCAGCGCACATTCTGCGGTGGCTTTGCACGGCCTGCCTGGGACTTATCTTTGTATGCCATTAAGATGTTCCAGCAAATCCGGCATCCGTGATCCATCGCCGGTTATACACACTGCCACGTCTCCGAAGCTTGACTCAGTTCACCTTAGTGAGTTGAGCCATAAGCGGGACAAAGTGCTCGACCCACCAGCGGCCAGCCAACGGGACCCGACCCACCTCTGACAAATATTCAGCCAATACACAAACCGGCCACAGAACACGAGCGGTTCATGGAACGTGTACCGCTGCTGCTGGGGGCGATAGTTCAAACGTGATCTGTTTGTAGAGGGTGGTATGGGGCAGAGGAGCCGCCCATGTGCTGGCCAGAACACCCCGGGGAATTCGGGTTATGGTAAAGAAAGCTAGCATGACTGTGGGGTGGGTACACTTCATACCAGTTCGGTATGGAGGTAGGGTAGCGTAGCCCCGACTCTTTGAAGTCGTGGGACGACTGGAATAAACCGTCCCTGGCCCAGTGCCGTCTATGGCTGGTCCCCAGCGGGCCACCCGCTGAATATTGAATGCCGCCCTGTCTAGCGGCAGCGGCGACGCTCTATTGTTTACTGTCCTGCCGTGTGATGGGGCGGGGTCGTCCCTCCCCTCCCCACCGTCACCCCACGTCGACCGCCATTGACCCAGTTCGGGCGGTGGGCGGTGGCGGTTGGCGAGGACCGCCCCGCACCACCCGATGTGTGTAGGCGTTGCATGGTGACCATATTGGGGTCGGACAAAGCCGGCGGTCGGCGGACGGCGACTGAACGAACTTGGCAGCCCTGGTTGGGTCACTGGGCCATGACACGCAGGGCTGTGGAGTGGAGTACCTACCTAACTGTGGTGCGGAGACTGGAGAGTGGAGACCCAAGGTGGTTTAAATAACAACGCTTATCCAGACCACATTCCGTGCCCTGTCGGGTACGTCTGTGGCTGGACCATCCATCAGCACAGTAGCCCTGTACCCCACAGACAGGGCGGATCCACAAAATGCAGTGCATCGCATTATGTATGACGCATCATGCATACAACATGGCGAAGAGAATATTGAACAGATTCACCGCTCGTGGCCGACTCATTTCTATGCAGAGTTCAGACTACAGAGACAGTGTCAGTTTCCCAGATTGAGTGACGGCAGACAATGCTAGCGTGATTCGAATTTAGACGAATTCAGCGTGCCAAGGCCATTCCCACTGCCAGCCTTGTCATTGTGAAAACCAGCCGTCTATCTCGTCATCAGGGCGGCCAGTTATCCAACGGTTCACGGCGTTCCCAGTAGCACAGTCAGTCTGCAGCGTCCCGGTAAAGAAGTAGCGGGGCGTTTCCCAGTCGCAGCATGTGTGCTCAATGCCCTGGTGTGGCACGGTGCATCAGGTGGTGACCGACCGGTCAGCATTGCCACGTGTCCTCAGCGAAGATATGGAACACGGGGGTCACCTGATGACACGGACATCATATAGCGGCGGAAGACCCACTCACTCACAACGAACGAGTCTCAGCCGAGTTGAGTAGGGCGAACCCGCCCGGGCCAGCCCAGCCGGCCCTCAGCTGACCGTATAGGGACGAGGACTGGGCGGGGAGCGCCGCGTTACATCACACAGCGGCCTACTGTCTACTGCCACTGCAGATCTGCTGCCACTGCCCACAAACAGCTGGTGGAGTGGTCACAGCAGCACCGCTCCAACACTACACAGCGGCAGGACAGCCGACAGGGCAAGGTCGCTTAGGTCCATAATCACCTTGGCAGTCACCGCCTGTCATCCATGGTTGCTGTCGGATTAGGACGCAAAGCCGCGAGGCCCAAGTATCCAAATGTCGCCTATGAGGGCCCCTTTTGGCCATCGCACAGCCTACGATGATTAAAAGTAGGTCTCTGCCAAACACCGTGCTTTACCCCTTCTACCAAAGCGAACTTCGACAGTCGACCTGCGCAGTACGAGGGTGACCACCCAGGAGAAGCCCCAAGAGGCCCGGCACGAGACAAATACGGACAGCCGTCCGCCAGCACCCGTGTCTGACAGTTGCCCCGGACATGTCAGCTGATCGGTATGGAAACGGTGACAGCGGCCGCCTGCTGACGTCATATATACGTCACTGCTGACGTCATACGTTCGTCGCGTGCCTGATATAGGTGAGGTGTGTGTCGGTGATGCGTCACTTTCCACCTAAGAATGCTATACCATCATCCTGGAGGTCACAGGCCAGAGTGGCGTCGAGGGTCAAGTAACACATGGAGGTAGTCGCAACCAGCAATGGTTACCCCACAAGGCTAATTCACAGACTCGTCCTGCACAACCCAGACGACGGGGTCAGCTCCGACAAGCACCAATCGCGTCTCATCAGACGCTCAGTGGCGGGACCGTCCGCCCCACTTTAACAAACCCAGACGGACCAGCAATGCACCAATCAGCCGCAGCCTAGTGGAGGGGAGGATCGGAGGGTGGGGAGGCGGGTTTCGTGGGACGAACCATCACCAGTGGGGGATGGCATGCTTGAACCGCGGTAAAACCCGGAATAAAACCGATTAAAATTCTAAATGGCTTAAAACTTTAAGGGAGAGGTAGAACTGTAATTATATCTTCTTTTTTTTGCATTGGCAAACAACTATTGACTATTTCATTGATTGCAAGGATGCGTCCGGAAGATCTTACGATACGGACAAGGTCACTTGCTAGTTGCTATAGATTCGACTCAGAACACATGCTGCTCGCTGGCTTCATTTCATTATCTACATCGGGAAGCAGAGCGTTAGCAGAGAAAACAACTGTAAAAACTACCCCGAAATTCAGCCAAAACTACTAATCCGTTATCATGCTTAACGGATCGTCAGCATGTGTCGTAGGGAACAGGAGACCGACAAGCAATGTAGATAATTCAGTCTCCCGCTCCGCACACACGGGTATGACAGCTCTGACCCCTGCCATTTATCGGAGCCGGCGCTCCAACTGCGCACTCGGCTCCGGCAATAGGCCTCCCGTCGAGGCCCGGCTAATGGAGTGTTACCAGGGCGACTCACGCGCCCCCACAGCCGGCGCTTTCATTACGGACCGAGTACGACTGACATGCCGAGACGTAGATGTCTTATACATAAAGGCCTAGCAGGTTATGAATGTTCAGTTCAATGGAGGTGAGGTGTGGGGAAAGCCATGGGCTCATAGAAGGGGGAAAGGCCCGAGTGCAGATGAAGAAGAAGGAGATGGGAGGATGGAGAAGGGGAGAGCATAGAGAGCAGACAGTTCAGTGACCACCGATATGGAGCCGTGCCAAGCCGGTAACCCCAGCGGCTTCACTCTGTTACCACCAACACGGGTACGGTGCCGACTCACTGTTATAACGGCCAGATTGATCCGTTATTGATGACGGAACGGTACAAGCAATATTCATTGTGAAATAAAACGCTTTCATTGCATGACTTAAAATACCCCTAAACCAACATCGGCTTACATAACAATACTTCCGAGCTAAGCTACAAGCACGGTCTGCCTGTGGTGACGAGCTAACGTGTCATCACCCACTAGCAGGTGTAAAGCCGTCTGGGGGACTTCCTCTTCAGACCACAACACGTGCATTGCTGCCACGGCAGACTCCATGTGGCCACCGGTGCCAGGAATAAACCACCCCACACAGCGCTGGCAGCAGTTAACACCCCAGTTCCCATCTCAAGTAGGCTAGAGATACCGACTGAAGGGTCGTTCATACATCCTCGCCAAACCACGCCACTCTAACACTCGTCAGCTTTAGTAAACATGCCGCACTGACTGCGCCATATCCGGCCCTAAGCAAACGGCTGATTCCCGGTAACCCGTGATAGCATCATGATCAGCGCTAGGAATGTGATAATACGAGCTGTGATAAGATAGGGAGCTCTGTGCCGTCATTGTGGGTCGCACGCTGCAAGAACGGGCGGCGATAGTGGAGGAAGGATCGGTTCAAATCGCGATTGAGCAGGTTTAACCATAAGCGATTTCCTAAAAGTCATGTTGGGGATGAACGCCTAGTTTAGTTTGCTTATGTGAGCATAATTTCGCCCAGTTTCA